GCATTTAATTATTTTGAAAGGTGCATATTCTAAAAATTAGCGTCGCGCGAGGTTAGGAGAGGTGCAGAACACTCTCTCGGACGTTGTTTGAAATGTTCCTAACACTAAAATCTACTGGAAAGCTGTGACAATAGTTCAAACATCATTATTCACTACTACTTATCTACCAATTACTAGGATATGTATCCAACTTGAGATGCACATGTACAATTTTACACCATAAAACAACTTCTTAACTCATGGCAAATAAAGTCTTTGTTCCTCCTCTTAGACCTCTTTTACTCATCATAAGCATCCTCGCCATCTGCTTCAGCCATCTCAATCTCTGCCAAATTAACCTGGTGTTTCTCAAACCACTCCCAGTGTTTAGAGACAAAGAATGCTTTTTCTGTATACTCTGGATCCAAGCAGAGGAGGCTGGCAGTGTGGCTGAAGACGAGCTCAGATGGGGCCGAAGTGAGTTCCACAGGAAGATAAATCTTGGCCAGCCTTGTTGCAAGAATTGGATAACTTGCCTGGTTCTTTTTCCACCACTGGAGTGGATCATTGTGAACTGTCTTACTTCCAATTGTCTTGACTAAGGCCAAGTGCTCAGAAGACATGTAAAGCTCAAGTTCACATCTACAAGAAGCATGATCAATATTGACATCTGCTCCACCACTGCTAAATTGATGACATTTATCCTCTTCAGCTTTTGCCTCTTCTTCCTCCATCAGCTCAAACATGTTCATGTCAGCATCATCAACACCAGTATCAACATGAGTATCTCCTTCTTCAACTTGTTCCATGATGATGTTACTAGTAGTTGCATCCATGAGAGCCAAGTCCTCAGCTCCAAGTCTCTTGGACTCAGAATCTTTCATCAGTTCCAGTACTTTGTTGCAAATATCTTCTTTGCTTTTTTCTTTGTGCGTATCATCTTCTCCAATGGATACCAAGCTCTTCGTTCTTGGGTCAAGGAAAGTAGTACTAGCAATTGTCAGAATTGGGTGGATCCCCTCCTATCTGTTTCTCTTGCCACAATTTGGGTATGTGAACAAGCTAAAATAAAGGTGGAAATAATTTTTTTGACAATGATATGGCCCTCCTCATATTGATTTCGGACCCTTGCCAGCAAATACTGATATTTTATCTGTGTGGGGTCCACCAGCATTATTCCCAATACTATGACACGACGTCATTACCACACCAGCAACAATCTAAGGAGAGAGACCTTCTTGCTTTTGCCAGGTGTGTGTGTGTGTGTGTGTGTGTGNGTGTGTGTGTGTGTGTGTGTGTGTGTGTGTGTGTGTGTGTGTGTGTGTGTGTGTGTGTGTGTGTGTGTGTGTGTGGGTGTGTGTGTGTGTGTGTGTGTGTGTGTGTGTGTGTGTGTGTGTGTGTGTGTGTGTGTGTGTGCGTGCGTGTGTGTGATGCTGAATTGACGAGCCACCACCACCACCTAGTAATTCTTTTACTAGTACTGGCATTTTAAGTGTACTCTGGGAATAGCACAACATAACTTAGTTAAACAATAAAGAAGGCCTGTGCATTGCCAACAATAACAGTCACAAATATTAACACAGTATTAATTAGGGAGGCTCTCAAGTGGTGTGATTTATGTTAGGAACGGTGGGGGTAAACGTTTGTAAAAATGTTACTTCCGTGGGGATAAAAGTAAAAACGTTACTAACGGTTCCTAACGTCAGGAACGTAACGTAGAACGGTTCGTTACCCAAAACTAAGTTTTTTCATTCATGAAAAAAGGGGATTTTATTCGGTCATACTGCTCTCTTGCCGATGACTAAATGGCATAAATAGCACTTGAACAACGATATTCGTCCACGAGCAACTTGTGACCAAACTCAACCCCCCACTAGAAGTGACACCGTACTACGTAGTAGGTGCGAGTACTGTACCGTACTGTACGAGATACCATGACTAATACGTACCTCTGCGACCTGCAAGTAATGTACCAGCAGTACATCATGAACGGTCCTGGACGTACTGCATCTCAGCAACGATCCTTGTCTGTTGATCACAGTAATTGATTTGTCTGGTACCCTACCTGGAACTTGAAACGCACAACTACTCTACTTTTCCGCAGTCGAAAGTCCTCTATTTTCCTCGTTCCATTGGTTGGCGTTGCCGGGAGAGGCCACAATTCAGACTAGTCTGAAGTGTCACCATTTATTTATTGTACGAAACAAAAGCTGCGAAAGAATCAAGCGAGAATTTGAAGGAAGGAAAAATTTAGACGCGTCCCTGTGATCCCCATAAAGCAAAGGCGAAGGAATTCAACCAAAATGGGGGCCATCAATATACCTAAAAAGCCGGAAGAGGTTCCCGAAGCAGCCCAAGGGAACCCTGTCTATGAACAAACGAGACAGGATATGCCATTGTTCTGTTGTGGAAAGAATTGTGGCCGTAATACTCGGTAAGAGATGTTGGATCCGGCAGCGATCAACGATGCAAAGAGATTCTCTTCGGGACCTCTTCTCTGACTCTTGTGTTCTTTGTCATTAATTTTCCATGACTTAATATTTACAAAACTTTGCTATGTGTATCCTTGAATACTCCAAACAGTATAACGGTTTTCGTATTGGGTCTGATCGCCGTCTCGTGCTCCTTTGTAGTTTGCTTCTCGTCGAACTACTTTACCTTCGTGAGTCTGAGGAATGACACCTTCTATGATGAAGAAAAGACGCAGCCCCATCCATTCGAATATGCGGTCGAGGCTAATGTAGGGTTCTTTCGGTACGAAATCTTGGAAGTTTTCGAATATCCATGGCCTCCGAAGGATCAACGGGAGCTTTTTGATGCCATGCACGATCGCGAGCTTGAGCGACTTGCTGCAAACGATGAAACATACGATTTCAAAGACGAACAAGTTTCTTCGAACTCTGCTATCGTAAAGAAGATCAGGCGAATACAAGACGAATTCCCCGACGATTTTAATGACGACGACCAAACACCATCGAAGGAACACGTGCAACTCGCTGTATCCGATGAACAATCCCCACCGAACGAGGAAGAATCGTCTTCGAACTCTGCCAACTCGAACGAGTCAAGGCGAATGCAAAACAAGTTCCCCGCCGATTTTTACGATGACGACATTTTATCATTCAACCAAATCTCCTCTTTTATCGGCGACGATGATTTTTCTGACAATCCATCTCAAAACACAACGGATGCGATGGGCAATTCAACGTACCAAAAGGATGCGATGGACATTGTGTTGCCCAAATCGCCGACCTTCGCACCACTTTCGGGCATTCCAATCGAGTTGGTTCCCGACGTCATTCCGGGAAGCAATGCAGTTTCGCGCCTCCCCACGTCGTCTCCGACCACGGCACCCACCATAAGCGATCCGAACTTGAAAATCGATGTCCAGGTCGGTGTGGTTTTGCCCTACCCCCCCGGAAGTGATCATTTCGATTCGTACTTCCAAAATGGACAAACAGGGGCCTTTTGGGCACCCATCACGGCACTCATCGGTTTGTTCTTTGGCATGCTCGAATTTTGTTGTTGCGTTTACAAGTGTAGTTGGTTGCCAACGGCCTTGTTTTTGTACGCAGCATTMATGCTACAGCTGATGACAATCATGATGTTTTTGACCGAAGATTTCTGGTGAGTAGAATTTGGAACGCGACTCTCCTCAACAGGATTGTAGTTGCATTGTTTCATTCTTCCATGCTTCCGTGCTCTTGATATCGGTCTCCCTGCCGTTTCACATTGTTCTTGTATTCTAACTTTGTTCCACCTGTGCCGTGCATCCTTCGAACCTTGAATTCTCTGCTTCGTCAGCGATTACACCCAGGACTGCGTGCTCGGGACCTCTGGGTACCTGTCCGTGGTCGCCGTGCTGCTCTATATGGTTTGCCAGTCCCTGATTTGCATGACACCGCGGCCACCGCCGCTCTTTGATCCCCTGAAAAAGCTGCGGAGCAAAAAGCGCAAAAAGGACAAGGAGAAGAAGCAGCACAACGAGTGGGACGAGACCCAGGCCCTGGCCGAGAACGAGGGCGGCTTTGCGGGCGACGGCCCCGATTCCTTTGCCGACGAGGACGAGGACGCGTTCTACAACCCCGACAGGGTGTACGACGACGACGACGACCACTACGAGTACGAGAGGGACGACAACGATTACGGGTACGACGACGGATATGGCGACGGTGGGTACGGCGACGAGGTCTACGAGGGCTACGACGACGACGACGACGACGACGCCAATGGTTACGATGACGACGAGGAGCCCAACCAATCCGGGCGCCGACTCTCGAGGGGACAGAACGCCGAGTGAGTCCGGTCGGGGTTGGCAACACAAACCAAACCAAACCCAATGGCAGAAGCGTCTATTAGACCCACCCGGGCCATTGCTGTTGGGATGCAAGCATAATTGTACAATAGAGGATTAATTATTACGGAGTACTGGAATCACTATCTATGTGTCTGTAAGAGAAATGCATTTCCTTGTTTGCCTCCCTCTTGCACACTCGTTGGAATACAATGCTTCCGTTCCATGGATCCCAGAGACAACCAGCACCCGTCATTTTTTCGGAGTGGTTTTGGTCCGCATCGGCGGCAGCGCATCCAACGGAATCAGGGTCCCTTTGCCTCGTCCCGTTCGTCGCGGTCCGATCCCCTGCCTCGGCCGTGCCGCAATGCAATGTGCCATGCGCTGTGCTCTGTTGTGCACCACGGCCCTACCCATCCTCTTAGCTTCTGTTCTTGCGGAAGCAGCGGTCCGACACCAAAACACCACCCCCGCGCCAACCAGGCACTGCGGCACCCTTCGGAAAGGCAGGGCAGGGCACGGACAAGACCAGACGCAATTCGGTGCAATGCCATGCGATGCCATGCCATGCCGTGCAATTCGGTGCAGTGCGATGCTGCCTAGACGGAGGCCACGCTGTGGAACTCGTCGGCGACGAGCGCCTCGGGCTGGTGTTGCTGCCCGGGCCTCCCCTCCTTTTCCTTGAGGGAGTGGTACCTCGGGCTGGTCGAGAGGTCGACGTTCAGCTTCTGCAGGTGTTCCAGGAGCTTGATCCACTCGTGCAGGCCCACCCCCGTGCTCCCGGAACGCCCCTGGTTCGCAAGCGCACAAGCCGGCGAGAAGGAGACCCTTCCGTCGGCGTCCACCCTCGAGGGGACGGCCCCGGTCTCCGAGGCCTCCTCCAGCTGCTCCCGCGCGGCTTCGGGGGAGACCCCCCAGCGCCGCGCCAGGACCGGGAGGGTCGCCACCGAAAAGACGGCCGAGGCCTTCCTCGCCTGGAGCTCCCTGGCGCGTGAAAGGCAGTTCCTGGCCATGCCCAGGTTCCCGTCGGCCTCCAGCTGGGACGCAAAGCGGCCGAGGAGGTCCTCCACGGTGGCCCTGTCTCCGGCCGCGCAGGCCGGCCCGAGGCGGGCGTAGACCCAGCAGCCGTCGTCGGTGGTGCCGCCGGTGGTGTCGTCGCTGCCGCCGCCGGGGGGCGGCGGTGGTTCCGAGGAATCCCCCCCGGGACCGGAAGGGACTTCCGGAGCGGAAGCGGCCTCGGTCGCCTTGCCAATGGCCTTCGCCAGTCCCTTGGGGGCGCAGCCGGGAATCCGGGTGGGAGCGCCGGGACCGGCACCGCTCGCGGAGAACAAGGGATCCTTCTCTCCGGCACCGCCGCTTGCACGGGGGGCGTCCAGCAGGGGCTGGACGAGGGCCAGCTTCTTCCAGGCCCGGATCGAGAGGGAGGCGCTGGCCGCTTCGTTCCGGGCGTCGGGGGGGAGCGAGAGGCAGGTCCACCAGCAGCGGTGGGCCATGGATCGGTGGAAGGATCCACGCCCGCGTGCGCAGTGGACCACCCCGCGCAGGTAGTAGTACTCCGCCACAAAGAGGGAAGGGGGATGCGGGCCGGCCCCCTCCGCGGGGAGGGGCCAGGTGTCCCCGACGACCGCCTCGGCGGCTGCCCAGTCTTCCGCCGCCACGGCGCACCTCAGAAAGACGGTGTGGACGGGGGTCAGGGTGGGAAAGGCCCCCGGGGAGGACCGGGGGGGCAGACCGAGAAGCGACGACGGCTGCAGAGACAAAGCAGACAAGGACGCAGCGTCCGATGCACGGACCATCCCGGCGAGAACGCCGACGATCCCGCTGGAAGCCACGGCCCGGGGATCGGCGCAGGCTTCCGCCGAGGCCCCCACGGCCCGCAGGACCTCGGCCGCCTCCCCGGTGGGCGTAGCAGCCTTCCAGGGAATCGTGCCCCCCAGCTGGGCCGCGGCCGCGGAGAGGTAGTGCCCGGCCACCGCTTCCCTGGCGACGCTGGGGCCCGGCGGAAGAGGGCCGGCCTCGGAGGGGTCCCCCCTTGGGAGCAGCCAGGCCGCCAGGGGGCCGGCCAGCATGGAGAGGGCCCGGGCCGACGGGGTTGGCTGGGAGGCAATCGCGTCCAGGTACCCCACGGGGTCTTGCGCAAAGGAGGGCGGCAGGAGGCTCCCTGTGTCGGCGTTGTTGGCGTCCCCGCTGTCGTTGTTGGTGGTGGTATTGGCATTGGTATTGGCATTGGCACTGCTGCTGCTGCTGCCGTCCTCGGCACTGGCCGGGGAGGAAATCTCCATCGTGGGACCAGCGGAACTCATGGCGGCGAAGGAAGGAACTACTACCGGGCGTTGTTTGGATCGTTTGGATCGCGTACCGTACTACCGGCTCCTCCTGTCTGGTCTTCGAGCTTGCGTTTCCTGCCGCACAAAAGGGCACCGGACAAGCCTGGTTTGGAGCGACGGAATGTGCTTCTGTTGGTTGGCGTAGTGCCTGTTTGTGCGTTAGTCTCTGAGTGTTAGTTCGTGGGTCTCGTCGATGGATTTTTCGAACAGGATCGCAGGGTGCCCGTACCGTGCGAAGTTCCGGTACGATGGTACCGTACCGTACGTACGGGGAATTCACGTAGGAAGAGGGCTCTCAATTCCTCTTCTTCAGTCACAACGTGACACAACAACATCGTCCTGGGGAGTGCAGACGAACGGGAACAACATGAACAAGTAAAACCCCTGTAGAAAATTACTGTACATTGTACTGCCGGTACGTCCGATGGCTCTAATGATACTGTATTTTGCAGCACATGAAGGTACTACTCTGTACCAGGTACTCGTACGTACCATACGGTACGAAAGTAGAGCAAAACTGCAAAACTGGTACGTACGAGTACGTACGGTACCCACATTTTGGAAAATGGTTTTTGGTTTATCGGTGAACTACGTACGAATACTCCGAGTGTAATAAACAAACAAGGAAAACTACTAGTAGTAGTATTGCTACAACTGGAGGTAGCAGTTGCAGGAATCGCACCTCTTGTCGTTCTTGCAACCACACCAATTTGAAACGCTGAACGCGTCAGCTCACGAAGATGATGGAATGCGCACGGCACGACGACTAGAAGTGGTACTAATAGTAGTAGTAGCTATTACAAAGCAGGATGGATGGCAAAGATCTTCTATAGTAGTACTGCATCGCGTTGATGGAATGCTGACGGGACGAGGACTGCCGGTACCACTAGTAGTAGTACTACTTTTAGCAGTGGGGGGATGGCAGCGAGGATCTTCTGTTGTTGTACTCCTTGTACTAGTAGTAGCAATACGGAACTTAAGCTGCTGGTTAAACAGAAGTATTTATAAAATACGATAGGTTTTTTCGCTAATAGTAGTTGTAGACATTTGGCACAAGAGAAAGCAGAGGGATAGGTCGTCGTCGGTTGGAGATGGATTTTTGCTTCATTCGATTCCGTACTGATACGCATACGCGACCGCCAGCTGTTCCGTTACAAAGAATTAAAATGTTGCGCGCTCTTCTTGCATTCCTCGTGATGGATCGATCGATCGGGGCATCCCGCATCCACGTCCAAAGCGAGTCCTCGATGCAAAAGCGGCAGGGATGGTGCTTTCGCTCGGTCGCGTTTACGCGATTCCCATCTCGGCCTGGGCGAGGTTGACCTTGGCGCGGTGGATCTTGCGGTACAAGAAGAAGGAGTAGGCTCCGAGAAGGGCGGTGGTCAATCCAAAGATAACGGCAAAGGCGGTAGCCGCGCTGCTTCCGCCGACGGAGGAAGTGGATCCGCCCGAAATCTTTCGTGCGGCATTGTGCAAGTTGGGAAGGATGTTGTTGATGAAGTCACATGCGCTGGTGTCGGCGTAGAAATACTGTCCGAGGTAGTTCGACAATTTGGTCTCACATTTGGCAGACATTTCGTACGATTGCTGGCAGAGCTCAGTGGTTTCGTAGTTCTGGTTGTAGTTTTGGTTGTCTGTATTTATAAAAAAAGGCGTTGTTAGTGTTGAACACAATCAAAATTGATTATTGCATCGACGAACTTTGTGATCAACGTGATAAATTCAGTCGCACTTACTGTTGTTGTTTCCGTTGTTGTTGTTGTTGTTGTTGTTGTTGTTGTTGTCGTTGGCATCTTCGTCAACCTGAAGACAAGAGAGACATTCGTTCACGGCAATGATGGGTTCACTTGAGTAAGGAAGGGAGCTTCCGTAGTTGAAAGCCTCGTACACACCGGATCCGGCAGAATTAGTGCAGCCATTATCGGTGAAGACTCCCAAGTGGATGCTCTTGCCATCTTTGTGAGAGCACTTGGCACCGATGAAGTACTGTGCGTACATGTTGACTCCGTTGTTGTTGTTGTTGTTGTTGTTGCTGTAGTAATTGTTGTTGTTGTTGTTGTTGTTGTTACCCTCGGCACCTTCCATTTCTGTGGTCAATTTTTTGAGAAGGGAGAAAAACGAGTCACGTGTGAAAAAACGACACGGCATCTTAATGATAATACTACTCAATGTGCGAACAAGATTTGAACGTACCTTTGCATTCCATGTATTCGGCAAGGTTGAATTCTTCCTGTCCCTCGACTTCAATACAGGATTCCATGCCTTGATCAACGTAGCACTGGTTTTCGCAGGCTTGGTCGTCGTTGGCATTGTCGCAGTAGCAGTACTCGGCAATGGTTTCGCAAGCTTGCTCCTTTTGCTGCTCCTTCATCTCAACGTAGGCTTCGACAAACTCTTGCATGTTAACCACGTACTGGGCAATTCCGCTGCCGCAGTCACTGCAGCTTCCGGTGTTTCCGGGGCAGACAACGAACTTGACCAAGTTTTGGGTGTAGAGGATGCCCTCGTCATCACCTCCTCCTTCCTCTCGGACTTGGATAAGGGAAGCACACGAATCGTACTTGATGGAGTATCCAGCTAACCAGGAGGCATCTTGATCGTTTTGTTCTTGGTTCTGGTTGTTGTTTTGTTCAAGACGACGAGCCTTGGACAAGATTCTCTTTCCCATCGTGGAGGTGGTGGGGATGTTGAGATCGGGGATCATGGTCTCGGCAGAAGCGTAGGCAGCGAGGGCTGCGAAAACGGCGGATCGGAACAACATGGTGGGTATATCGTTCTTGGTGGAAATGGATATTATGACAGGATATGGAGGGGGAAGCGGCCGGAGATGGAGTTTCGGAAAGTACCGAAAACCAAAGTCGCTGTTCTTGCGCGCCAAGCATTGCTCTCATAACGAGCGATGCGAACGCCGGCAACGGTCGGATTTGGTCGGGGGTGGTAAGCCAATCGATGACCAACATTTCTGTGCGCGCCAAATTTCGTCTAAATCCGGAAAAATGTTTAGCCAGTTTAGCGATAGTAGTTTAGAGAGGCGATGATCATTGAAAATCAATTACATTTATCGAAGAACAAGCACGCGTCAGATTGCGCGCAATCGATGGGTTGATCCGTTGTAACGGAGTGTCCGATCCCGTGTATGCCCATTCCGTTTAAATAAAGAGGGTTCCGAGCGTGTCAACCAAAAATTGGATCTTTGGATGTGCAACCTTCTCTAAAAATAAATGTTGTGACATGTGTCAACGCTCGAAAAACGTCTTTCATTTTGATGCGGAGGGTTCCCTACTCAACTACTTTTATACCGTACATAAGATATGATACCTACCGTATGAAGAATATAGTTCCTATTCATTGTAATGTTCCTTAGCCCCAACCTTAAAAATGTTTTGGGTCGGGTTGGGGTTAGTGTACCACACGTATTTGGAAGGTTTTGCGCGGCAGCCATTCGTTGGGAAACCATGATTGCGGTACATCCTCGCGTGTGTGTGACACGGGACTTCACTGCTCTTCGCGTTCTTCTTCGAACAGGAAGCGTACGAGTACTGTATCGAGTTTTTAGAAAGTACTTTACCAGGTACGATCCACTTGAGTTTTGCAAATGGAAGGAAAAAATACGATCCCGAACGAACGCCATCTGCGTTGTACGTAGTAACTCGTACGTACCACACGTCACGTTACTGTATCCTCAAGAAATTCTGTTTCGAGTGAGAATCTTTCGAAATCATTGGAGTTTTCCTTCTCTTTCAGCTGCTTTTCGTATCCTTATTCTGCCTTACAGCATAAGACTATCACAGCGTACCATAGCGTACCATAAAGTATCGCCTGCGAAGCTTTCTTGAGTGGAAACCATCAGACAAGAAACCTGGGAGGATAGTAATTTAAAGAGATAGAGATATGTCAGTGCCTTGTAGACTACAAAGAAAAGAAGGAAACCAGAAGGTTGCAACCCTTTTGTTGCTTTGCACTGTTGCCTGCGCTCGCATCCTTGCGCCAAATTCGTCGCCTTCGTTTCCGGTGGCACGTGCTTTCGCGTTTGCGAGGAACGGTGAGACTCGGACAGTTTCGACGAAAGAAACCCCCGAACAGCTTTCCCGGTGGAAGCTCAAACAACCAACTCAAAAGAAATTCCGAACGTCTCCGCTGTCTTCCACCGATGATGCTTTCCGTACGCAACCAGCAGCCACAACCACAAAACCAGTCATCAACGGAGCTTCTTCCACCGAAGCGACGTTCGAGAGTCACGACAACGCCTTCGAAGAGGTCCAGAAGAACAAGAACAATATTTCACAGCTGCTCGACAAATTCCGCGCCGCCTCCAACTTTGCCAGCATCCTGTGCGTGCTGGACTGCACCCTCTTGCCGATCATAACGGTGTGCTTGCCMCTTTTGGGTCTGGTCAATCTGAGCACCGACAAGTTGCAGATGATCGACAGCCTGGGCCACACACTGGCGCTATCGTTCGTCCTACCGGTGGCATCGCTGACGACGGCCATCAATTATTGGGGACACCGCAGAAAGCGGATTGCCTCCGTGGCCCTGCTTGGAATCCTACTGGTGGGCACCGCCAATTCACATTGGCACTTGCCCCACTCGTGGCCCGCAATTCTGACTGGTGCGATTCACAAAGTACAGAGCTGCGGCGGAACTCATCCTTCTGTGTGGCACAGGATCGCAAACACAGGAGGATGTGCCCTGTTGCTTGCATCGAATTATCTCTCGCAACAGCAAGAGGGCTGTGCCACTCATAAGATTGCCGGGGCCAGTGATTGCTGTGGACACGATCACAATCATTGAGTGGAACTATCGCGGTGCGCGACCACAGCAAAGGAGGAAGGATGCGATCGGCATGAAATGAAATGATTGTCTTAAACATTGATACGAGATGCGGTATGATAAGAAAACAATAGAATTCGACAGAAAAGGATTCTATCTTCTAGCTCATCTCGACCAACGATATTGACAACCTCACTCAACAATTACGATGGCGTTGTCTCAAGGTTTGATTAGAGGCAATTTTCAGCTAGTTGTAGGTCTCTTTTGTAGCCTCGTACCGCAAAATATAAATTGGCTTCTAATTTTCAAATAGAACTCGTTATCGTGCTGCTTCTTTATCTCGACTCTTTGCTTTGGTGTATTCGCACAAACCAGCTGCATTATCTAAACTCACCGGGCGTAGTTTCGTACAGGAAAAAAAAACGCAAGGATCTGAACCATGAGATAACAACGTTCTATTCAACTGGATTTTGACTTAAAAATTAGGTAGGGTCTTCGGAATGAATCATCACTCAAACCAGCAACTGCGGTATATTTGCACGGGATGGTCCCTTCCTTTCGTTTGGTGCAATTCACCGCAGTACTATGCATCGTACATACGACCTTATTTCCCCATGATGAATCGCAATTCGGACATCCGATATTGGGTCCGTTTATGAACCACCAGCTTGTGGCTATCAGAGGATCTTGGCCTCCTCCACCCAGTATGATTACAGAATGCATTGCACAAGTGGTTAGAAAAAAAGGACTCGATGCCCTTCTCTCCGAGGTCGGTTGGGCCGAACTCTCTCGCTACGGAACAGATGGCGAGATTGGTTAACTCGAAGCGCGACTTCTTGTTTCGGTGGCGAGTATTGTCATGGTAACGCCCCTGGAGGTCGCAGACGAGGTACCGGCCTCCGGACATGTGGTAAGTGAAGTGGCTAAAGGCTTCTATTGCTAACGTCTCAACGCCACCGTATGGATTGATCCAACCAGTATTCGAAGTGAATTTTGTGAAATTCCGGATAGCTGGTTCAACCAAGAATTGAAAGCCGATGTTGGATGTTACGATGGTTCCCCTGCTGATCATGATGAAGAAAATCTCTGACCAATATTTATTCCACTCATTGGCGAAGAAGATTGCAACGTCGATGATCTTGAACTCGACGGCAAAGTATTCGTTTACAATGTCTCTCCATTGCGATTTAAATCGTTTGCACGCCACTAATTCTTTGTTGCCGTTCCGTCCGATAAAGTATCCCTCTAAGCAAATGCGAAATCTTCCTTCACCGAGTTTGCGAGTGGTGACGTCCACGGGTTGCGAGGTCAGATCAGTCCTGAGGACAGATGACATGGTAAGGGTGGAAGTCCTCGATGTTAAAATTCCAATAGGCGATCAGTCGGTGTAACTTGGTGACTATGCGTATTTTGATTTGAAAAAGAAGTGCAAGTTGCAAACTCATAGACCATTCCCTCTTGCTCTCCTAATACTGCTTCTTTGGGTCTCTAGTGCCACGTATGTGCTCGGTAATGTTACAACGTCAATGAATGGGTTCTTCATGCATTTTATTATAGGGCCATTCGTAGTAATCTCCACAAAAAATGTCTTCAGATTTGATTTCGCCGATTCAATAAAGAGAGAGAATAAGAAATTGTGGGGAGGCGTGAGACAGTACAGTACACAATCCACAATCACGAATAGCTAGTGAATAACAATAACAACCTCACTCTTTATTGTAAATACGTATTCATACGACATACGACACTAGAGAGCATACCAACATTTCACACGTACGAACGGTAAGTACGAACCGGGCGGAACGAGTGTTTCGTGTTTCGTTGGCGCTTGCAAAAAAAAGCCTCACCATCACGTGCGAGGCAACAACAACAACAACAACAGCAACATCCAACTTCAGAACAATAATTCATAATTCAGCCTCATAACAATCTTGCCGACGAACAAAGCAAAAAAATCTACAACTACCGACTAGAATCAACAACACAGAAATAGAATGACTACTGCACACAGACCTACCTGGAAGGCCGCCGTCGGAAAAGCCAGCGAGGGGGGATGGGGCTCCGGCGGTGCCGGATCGCAGGGCTTGAGCGTCCTGGACATGCCCGCCCACACCAAGCTCAAGTTCCGCAAGGGCGACCAGGTTGTGGATCGCCAAAAGGCCCTGAAGGAATCCCTCCTCAAACTGGAAACTGCAGAGAAGGAAGCCACCAAGAAATTGCTCAAGCGACCGGCCGTTGACGAAAAAGTAGAGGAAGAGGGTCGACTGAAACTCTTGAAACAGACGGCCGAGGTGGACGAGCGGGCGATCCAAGCAAAATACAACGATGCCGACGCCCTTTCTTCGGACGACGACAGTGGAGATGGCGACGGATGGAGCGAGGCAGATAACGACGACCTGGACGCGAGCAGCAGCGACGAGGATGATTCCGACGATGATTCGGACGACGAAGACGAGGAAGCAGCACTCTATGCCGAGCTTGCCAAAATACGGGCAGAGCGAGAAGCCGCAAAACAAAAAGAAGAAGCCGAGGAAGCCGCCCGAAACGAAGAGAAACTGGAAGAGGCGGCGTTGCTGGGAAACCCATTGCTAGCATCCGGGAACGACCATGACACCGGCAGGCTGAAACGGCGGTGGAACGAAGACGTCGTCTTTCGCAACCAGGCAAAGGGGGAGCCCGAGATAAAGAAGCGGTTTATCAATGATACGGTACGAAACGACTTCCACAAGCGCTTCCTTAACAAGTTCATTCGATAGGAATACACCCAATTTCATTTATGCACTATATCTTGGTGCCTACATCGATTCTGCAATCGTACGAAAATAGCAAGGGGTGACAGCGTTTTAAAAAATATTTTAAAAGTCAACGGATAACGCTCTTTTCTTAGTGTTTTCAGTGGCCTTACATTCCAATGACGTCCTGAAGGACGGGGGGCAAGTCTCGGAACTTTTATCCGATTTGGAGAGCTAACCTCGAGCATAGACTGCAGCATTGACCGTAAATTCATTTCGTGCGTTTTCCACTATTTTTATGTCTATCTCTTCTATTGTTGTTTTCGATTGCCCTATTGCTTTCGTTTTACGACCAGCCGCATCACTCGCGCCGCAGAATTATCCTTCCGTCTTCCAACAATTCGAGGTCCGGATGGTGCCTGGCGAATACCTCGGGGTGAGATCGAGCCAGGCTCTTGAAGGTGTTTTCTCCCACGGATGGGTTCATGTGATTGTTCGGCCGTCGCCAGTGCTGGTTTGTTTGGTATTCCTCTGGGCGATCCCAGCGAACCGTATCCTTGCTTAGGAGGCGTTTGTCCAGCGGCCCCATCGTAGCCGACAGAACGGGGTTGTAAAAGAGGGGAACCGATGTTCGCGGTTTCGGTTCGACCGGCGACGAAGAGGGCCTCGTTACAACCCGGTGTGGTGTCGCCAGAAAGTAACCACGGCTCCATGTTTCGGCTTGCTCTCCCAGGTTGCAAATCAAATAGCCGATGCTGCTGCCACTGCCGACGTCACTATTTTCGTCGGCAGCGGAAGATGGGACGGGCAGGTCTACATCGATCCACTCTCCCTGTGAATATGCTTGGAGTCCTCCGGTGTGGTTGCCAACCGCACCGGAAGAATTATTCTGTAAGACCAGCGTCAATAAATTCGTATCCGTGTGCGCACCCACGCCTTGTTGCTCTAGCTCTCGCTCGTCCTTGTCATGTTGGGAAGGCTCCGAAGCAGTATTGTTGATGTTACCCTGTGTGTTTTTGGAAAATAGTTTCGGTGGTGGATAAGAAACGAGTTTGATAACCCAATGAGGGACTTCGTCGCTATCACTGTCATTAGAGGGGGGGAGGAACTTCTCATGAATGACATCCTTCGGGTCGAGCTGCAATGCTAGACACAGGGAATCTCGGATGATGTCGGCTACAGCGCATACCTCGGACGCATATCGTTTGGTGACGGGTTCGAGGGTCGGTTGAAAGTCGGTTGGCCACGGGTTTTTTCCCTTGAGCCGTTCATAGAAAGGTTTTGAGCATGGCTTTCTGCTCCTGTCATCATCGCATTCGTTCCTAGTAGTAGTTGCCGTGGTTGTAGTATTGTATTCGACTGCGTATTCCACTTGTTCGCGACAATCCACCCTTCCGCTTGTATTTTCAACTCCGAATTTCATGAAGCCCCGAAAGGAAGGACTATTCTCGTATGAAACKCTGAGCTTTTGCTCGATGGGGCGGTCGAAAAAAGCTTTGGTTTCGTTCAGCATTGTGCGAGCAAGATCTCCAAAGTCGTGCCGGATCAAGAAAAATCCAACGGTATGGCAGGCCACTCTGAGTTCTTCCACGAAGACCGATCGATTGCTGTGGTATTTTGCAATATCGAGGATTGGTATCCTCCTGTTTCGGATGATAGACATGATCAAAGGACATTAATCATTCGTTCTTGTCGAGTCTGTCGGGTCTGTGTGATTGAACAATGATGTGCCGGTGCACGGGGTTTGTGATCTTCGTTTTGATTTGATTCATTTCACTGGTTTGATGTTTTCCAAGAAATGAAAAGAAAGTTGAAAGTACAAACAAAGTTTCAATTTTCGCGCCGGATCCTCGATGACGATGTTGGTGGACAGACGTCACGCGACCATGTAATGATCGACTCAGAAAACCTGGGAAACATTTGGCCAAATATGGCTATATTTGTCAATTATTTGTTGATAAACAAGAATGAGAAACATGCCAAAAGGTGTGGGATTCCAACAATCCAATAATTATTCTCATTCTTTTAATAATTTGTCTAGTCAATAGGATTAATTTTCTTTAAGGCTTCGTACGTTTGCGTATCGAATCAACACAAATTATTAAAAGGAACACAAGCCGATAGCAACTACTAGTTTGACTATCGCCAGTACACACTAATCCAAGGATAAAGTGAGTGTAACTGTACACGGGTCCAAGGACTTACATTCGGCATCCAAGGACGCCCAACAAAGAACATCCTAAATGAGTTCAAGCAACACAGGAGACTGGGCCACAGTGGCAGCCAGCAACACTAACAAACACGCAACCAATAACAAAGGGAGCAGCAATCAAGGAAAGGCCTCAGGGTCAAATAAGAAAGCCAGTGACACAAACAAGAAGTTCACTGGACACACAAAGGGCGACATCGAGGGAATAGTCCTCACCGAAGACGGTGGTATCACACAGTTCAATGAGCTACAAAGCCGACTGGAAACATTTGGCGGATCAAAATACAATCCCAAAGTGGGCCTATCCATAGAGACCCTGAAACGCTTTGATAGAGCAATCTTTGCACCGACCAAGCCAACAGCAAAAGAATGGACAGAATACATCGAAAAGGAGGACGGCAGCACAGTTGAGATCGTCAACGATGACCTCAAGGAAGTTTTACTCGATATGTATAAGGAAGAACTCAAACAAGGTGTAAAAGACTTTGGCAGCTATACAAAAGATATGGAAATGATGTACATGATCGCGTTAGGCCAAATTGATGAAGGAATGAAAGAGAAAATAAAGAGCAACGACAGATGGGAGGATATCAAGATGAAACGCTGTCCTGTAGAACTACTGAAGCTGGTCAGGGATGTCTGTTTCCAGGGCAGTAGGAACAAGATCCACACCGCGACTAACCTCATCAGATCACTACGTAAACTCATATGCACGAAACAACGCAACACTGATAACACTTCATATGTACAGTCCATAGTTCAGTACGGCGAAGTACTGGAAACAATCGGTGGACAGTACGTATGTCCAACACTAATCAAGCAAGAGCTGGAAACGAATAAGAAATACAAGGAGGAGAAGCAGATCTCCTACAAGGAGTACCTGAGTCTCCCACAGAACAGCAAAGTGAGGAAGCAAATAGATCACACTGCGTTTCAGCAGTTCCTTGCAGCAGTTATTATTGAGGGAAGCGACGATGAGACAAGCACACTCAGGGAGACGCTCGCTAACCAATACAGTTTAGGGGTAAATATGTATCCCACCACAACAACACAAGCTCTGGAACTATTAAACAGTTTCAAAGGAACAAAGAAGCCAAAACCAAAGCAACAGGGCAAAGCCGGCGGCGGAAATAATAGTGGCGCCGGCGGGAACAAGAACAGAAGGGACCAGCAGAAGTCCCAACACTCAGCCAGCGGTGACGAAACCGAAGATACTAAACAAGAGCATACCAAGGAGTCGAACACGTTTGTGACCAATGGAGTGCAAAACACCAATGACAACAAGGATGAAGGCATGCCACAGACCGCACGTCAAATGCTGATGATAGCTGTTGAAAGCGACGAGGACTTCGGCGATGAAATGGATAACTACTTCCAGCTATGTGTTGAGGGTACTGAGGAGCCTAATGAAGCCAGTTGCAAAGCAAGCAGCGTGGTCAAAACTGAGGAGTGTGGAGGCCCCCATGCATGCTGGGGGAATGCTGCGTATAACGACAACAAGACAGATGCCTCAAATCCACAGTGGAAACACTACCAACCCCCACAGGAGGGGGCAACCGTCACATTCAAGTATAGCGACAACATCGAACGAATGTTTGCACAAACAGCAAACAGCAAGGGTAGGATCAACGAGAACTGGATACTACTTGATAGTGAATCATCATGCAACCTTATCACTAACCCAAAACTAGTGACCAACATCAGAAAGGCACCAGGAGGGAGGAAGATGGATATATACTGCAACTCCGGCGTGGCCAAGACTGATCAGATAGCCGACCTCCCCGGATACGGCCAAGTCTGGTTCTACCCAGAAGGAATCGCAAGTGTACTCTCACTAGCTTTGATATCGGACATCCGACGAGTCACCATGGATACAGCAGTGGATAATGCCCTTCATGTACACCAGGGAGATGGGACCACACAACGTTTCGGACGATCAAAGTGCAACCTGCATTATCATGACCTATCAAAGCAACAGAATGCCGGAGCAACGGTACTAACGATACTCAGTGTAGAAGGAAACAAAGAGCTGTTTTCGGATCTTGACGTACGGAGGGCGGACAAAGCACGGAAGCTACAGGAAACAGTTGGATTCCCAACAAGCAGGGAACTGATCAAAATGCTAGACAGCAAGATGATAGCAGACTGCACAGTCACTAGACGGGACGTCCTAAATGCAGAGGCAATATACGGGAAGCACGGCAGTATTGTGAAAGGCAAGCAAGTGCGAACAACCGGTGAGCATGTAAGAGAGGACCTCACACTGGTTCCCACCACGGTGCTAGATACATACAGGAATGTAACCATCCACATGGATATATTCACAGTGAATGGGATACGTTTCATACATACCATATCACGGCACATCCGTTTTAGGACAGCCAGGGCAATAACAAAAGCAACCAGATCAACATTGACAGACTGCATCAAATCCCTATGCGGGCAGTATCGCAGTCGGGGCTTTACCGTCACTCAAGTGTGTGGAGACAATCAGTTCGAATGCACACGTGACGATCTACTACAGCTGGATCCACCAGTGCAGCTGCATTGCGTAGGAGCTGGACAACATGACCCAATCATCGAACGGAGCATCAGAACAGTCAAGGAGAATGTTCGATGCTATTTCAATCATGTGCCGTTTACTAGGCTACCAAAGCGATGCACCATTGAGCTGGTGTATGCAGTAATGTTCTGGCTAAACTGCAGAACCAAAGGAGTGAGCAAGGCACTGTCCGCGAGGGAATTACTGACAGGCGTGTCCCTCAAAGCAAAGGAGTGTAAGTTTCAGTTCATGCAGCCAATCCTTGCTCATGTGGATGACACTGATAACACTATGGTACCACGTGCAGTGGAGGCCCTGTATCTTCAACCTACAGGATCCATAACCGGAGGGTTCTGGGCATATGACATCAACACGGGGAAGCGTATACACAGGCTTACGGCAACTGAAATGCCACTGACAGCATCATTAGTTAAACAAGTGGAGGATGCTGCTAGAGCACAACACTGTGAGCCCGGTATACTGTTCGGCGATGGTGCCAGCAAGTCTACAATATTAGACCTCGACACAACACCAAACACCGATGATGATGACGCCTCTGATGGGACATATATGCCCAAGCCTGGCGACGACAACGACGAGTCAATTGGGACAGTCGATACTACAGCGATTGAGGTTCCCAGCGTAGCAGACGTAGTAGGAGATCAACAAGAAAACACAGTAGGTGAAAAACAGACTGAGGCGCCAAATGACGATGCCCATGAGCAGAACAATGAACACGAGGATGATCAGGGACCAGTTGAAGATGTAGAACCAAATGAGAACCAGTCAGTTGACGACGCGGATGACCAGGACGACCCAGTAGATGACACATATGAACCGGTCAGCTCGCGTTTGAGACCTAGTGTCCAGAGAACACATAACAAGTTCCAGCAATCTGATGGATATGAGGGATTCACATACAATCGGTCGCTGTTCACACGGGGCTATCACAACGCCGTGGGGCACCTCACTCGTCAACATGAGGCGATTATGCTTGTTGTCAAGGCAATCGAGCAGTACAACAATCTGGAGGCTTCTCCAGTGACCCCACAATATGGGGTGAAGAAAGGAATAAAGATGTTTGGGGAAGCAGGGGTCAATGCGGTCCTGAAGGAGCTCCAGCAAATCCACGACCGTAAAGTTCTTTCGGCATTGAACCCAAAGGAAATGACGAAGGAAATGGTCCAACAAGCTCTCCCTTATCTAATGTTCCTCAAGAGGAAGAGAGACACCTCAATCAAAGGGAGGGGGTGTGCTGATGGCCGGAGACAACGGGAATACATTCGTAAAGAGGATGCGACCTCCCCAACAGTATCACTGTATGCTCTCATGCTATCATGTATCATTGATGCAATTGAGCACCGGGATGTTGCAACTGTCGATATACCCGGGGCTTTCCTACAAACTGACATGCCCGAAGGGGAGGATGTATTCATCCGTTTGGATGGGACCATGGCTGAGCTGCTGTGCCAAATCGATCCTCGGATGTACAGTAAGTATATATTAAACAAGAATGGGAAGAAGACCCTATTCACTCGCGCTGAAAAAGCGATTTACGGCACGCTCCAAGCAGCACTGCTGTTCTGGAAAAGCTGTCAGGTCAGCTGATGGAGTGGGGTTTCGAGCTGAATCCCTATGATCCATGCACAGCAAACAAAGTGATAAATGGATATCAATGCACAATAGTGTGGCATGTGGATGATTTAAAGATTTCACACAAGGATCCTGCAATCGTCACGAATATCATAGCTAGATTGAATGAGAAGTTTGGGGTTGAATCACCTCTAACTGAAACAAGAGGGAAGATACACGAGTATGTAGGAATGACGCTCGATTATACTATCCCCGGTAGAGTTAAGCTGAGTATGTTTGACTACCTAGAAGAGATCCTCCAAGGGCTACCAGACGATCTGCGAGGGCGGGCAGCTACGCCTGCATCTGACCATTTATTCAGTGTCAACAAGGAGGCACAGCCTTTGAAGGAAGATGATGCAGCACGTTTCCACCATTATGTGGCAAAATTACTGTACATGTCTAAAAGAACGCGACCTGACATCCAGACAGCGATTGCTTTCCTACTATGCACAAGAATATCGGCTCCGGATGTCGATGATTGGAAGAAACTCAAGCGGGTAATGAGCTATTTGCGGGAGACTGCGTTCCTACCATTAGTGTTAGGATGGGATGAGACAGGAAATGTATATTGGCATGTTGATGCGGCCTTTGCGGTACACAATGATATGAAGAGCCATTCCGGAGGGATGATGACCTTTGGACAGGGGGCAGCAATAACAACATGCACCAAGCAGAAACTAAACACCAAAAGCTCAACTGAAGCCGAAGTCGTCGGTGTGGACGACAACATGAATTTCATCATCTGGGCAAGATATTTTCTTAACGCCCAGTCACAGCACATGACCGACAACGGAGCAAAGCTGGTGAACAACAAATCACGCACACTCGTAAAGAACAATGTGTTATATCAAGATAACGAGAGTGCTATCAAACTTGAGAAGAACGGCCGATCATCCAGTACCAAGCGAACCCGACATATCAACATCCGATACTTCTTTGTCACTGACAAAGTGAAGAAAGGGGAGGTCACGATCGAATACTGCCCAACTGATGACATAGTTGCCGATTACTTTACAAAGCCCTTACAAGGATCGAAGTTCAGAAAGTTCCGAAACACCATACAGGGTGTGAATGAAAAGGAATACACCCACCATTACAAGCAGCTTTATGAAGAAGCGCTCCGTATGAACAGCCAAAGTGGCACTGAAGCAGCCGCGTCCGCATGAACAATGATAGTCCTGTGAAACACTACGTTATCACTAGTAGTACTGAACTGTACACTGCTGAGCAACCAACCGCTTCAGTGAGGAGTGTGTTGGTGGACAGACGTCACGCGACCATGTAATGATCGACTCAGAAAACCTGGGAAACATTTGGCCAAATATGGCTATATTTGTCAATTATTTGTTGATAAACAAGAATGAGAAACATGCCAAAAGGTGTGGGATTCCAACAATCCAATAATTATTCTCATTCTTTTAATAATTTGTCTAGTCAATAGGATTAATTTTCTTTAAGGCTTCGTACGTTTGCGTATCGAATCAACAGACGATGTTCAATACAGAAACATACTGGAAAATAGTTATCTCGATAACGTATCGGTTCTTATTCACCCTTGGTATGCACATGCACCCTTTGCGCATCACAGAGAGCACAGATACCATCTTCTGAAGCTGCAAGTATTTACCAATCTATCAAGAAAGCACACAATCTTGGCGCTGTTTTGAGATATTGAACAACAATATAGGCAAAGATGACCGTGTTTCGTGATTTTTCTTCCTCGATATCGAAGATATCGAGTGCTACTCTCCGACATCGTTTTTCTTGCCGCCAACCGATGATGAATCTCGGATTGGTCTTCTTGGCAGTGGCAATGATTCTGACAACCGGGGCTTTGTGTTTATCCTCCCCAAGCACTAGCAAGCGTGTGCACGATACGACAACCATGGAAACTAATGCAGCGCTATCTAGAAGATCCTGTTTGGCAACAGCTGCTGCAGGTCTAATTACAGGAGCAGCAGCGGGAGATAGCGGGATTTTCGGCTCCGTAGTCAACGTCAAACCGGCTTTTGCTACGGAAACATCGGCTGATGCAGTAGAAACAAAAGAGTCATCCTTACAAAGCACACTGCTAGACACCAATCGAAACAACCTTCTCCAATCGATTCGAAACAACAACAGCGAAGCCGAGATCTTAGCCGCTATCGATACGCTGGTGCCTTTAGATCCGTCCGAGAACAAGGGAGCAACCATGGCAAGTGACCTAGATGGCGAGTGGGAACTTCTTTGGTCGGCAAAGGCCGAAGCCTTCAGTCCCTTGCTCAAGCTCCCCAAACCCTTCAAGCCGGATTCCTTTCAATACCTCGGAAGCGCCGCTGCCCAAGAGGTGGGCCCCGGTCGCGTGGCACAGGGCCTCACGGGAGGTATTTTGGGGGCAAACACTCAGCTTTGGTTGTCTAGCGGGGTTCGACCTTCATCAGACGACGCTTCCGTGTTGGAAATCCTGCCGCCTTTTCGGTTCGAGGTGGGGGGCCGCTACGGGTCTGGGACTCCCAAGAATCGATTGGTCGAAGCGGGCAGCGACGCCGAATTCCGCAAACTGAACGCACGAACGACCGAGGCTCAGGAAGCACCCAAGAATAGCTATAAACAGCTCTATTTGGAGCGGGAAGGCAAGGGCTCGCTGCGAATATCGACCATTACGGCTGGCGATCCCGTCATTGTGGGAGCTATATTTGTTCACCGGAAACTGTAGTGACAAACGCTGGACCCTAGTAGTGACTAATACCCCGTTTAGACGTCGCCTATGCGAACAGCGTCTCATAATACAAAACATTCTGCTTATTCATGCCATGTATGAGATAAGATCAAGGAGTATCAAATGTTAAAGCGAAAGGTTTATTATGAGCGTTCAGATCTCTTCTCTTCTCCACACTATTCGCCGAAAAGGATTTGGATTTGTACCAGATACACATGTTCGCTTGCTAAGCTAGTCACTAATGTTTCTGTGGACAATGAATTCACGCGGGACAATGGTGCAAATTCAACGCCCAGGAACATTGTGTCGATGAGTGGCCGCTGTAATAGTAGCATCAGCTTCTTCAGATTGAAATAAAGGTGATCGGTTGTTTTCTTCTTTTTGAAAAGAATCTAGATCATCTCCTCGTCTCAGTCGTCATTCCTGTCATGTTGTATGTGGTGGTACTAGAATTCAAATCAAGTCATTGGTTTGTGGTTCGGTTGATAAATCTCTTCCCTATTTTTGGATCCAACTTTCCTATCTCGCGACAGATAATCAGCGATAAAATCGTTCTGTAAAGAGAGAGGACACGGATAGCCTCTTAAATGGAAAGAACCCTAGGAAGATTCAGCAGGAGCCTTCTTGGCGTCTTCCTTCGATGGTGGTTTGTCGTCTGTCTCGCCACCTTCGTCGCGTTTCGTGGAAAGCCCAGACCAAACGCCGGTTCCTTTCCACTCATCGGTTTGTCCCGCCGCATAACCGACATAGTCGATTGCGGACTACATTGTCATTTTGTATGTAATTGTTGGAATTCCGGGCAGTCGTTTGCAACCCGGTCAATGTAACGGAAGTGAATGCATCATATATTATTCATTTCAATCGTGACAGCAACAAGTAAAGCAATTGTAAACGAAGAAGTAGAAATGATGTTAAGGATCATGCAAAATAAAAACTCATTACTTCTTCATTGCCAATGGTTCTTGGATTGAACAGAGTCAATTGAACAATGTATGACGATTCATGAATCGGTAGCTGTTGGCGAATCGACAATAAGAATCATCTCGTTACCTTGATGGTTCAGTAAATAACCATGGTTGGCGCAGCCTGAATCTCAGTTGTGGTAGTAGTGCTCTTTTTGGGAATGAGGGTAGCTTGGCGAGGAGCAAATCCAGAAACTACAGAGACTAATAGAGCGAGGAGGAGGATAGTTGACTTGGCCATCATCGCGGATTGTAAGTGTTTCTGTGACAGCAAATTCTAGGTCAAAGAATGAGTGTGTCGGAGAATCAAAATTAAGCTGTCTAAATTCTACGAATGTGTGTGATGTCAAAGCTTCGAGATGCTTTTTTCAATCTCCTCTTTTCTACTGTACTGTACGGTACTGTATGTACGACAACGGGTACTTCGTAGAATTACCTTGCATCACTATCTTTCCGCGAGACCTGCTGAACACGTCATACTTCGTACATGTTACATCTAAAAATACAAGTAAAAATTACTTCGTTGCATTGTACTTCGTACTTTTTACTCAACTTAGTCCCATTGTTTTGGTCGCGCAGGGTAAACGCGGAAGTTAACATCATACCGTACAGTACGGTACGTACTAGAGCTACTAAGTACGGGCCCCATAATGGCAAGTTATTGGCATGTTCAATTGGATAGAAACTGCTCCTCGTACCGTTGGTACCAAGTACGACTACGAGCACGAGTAACGTACGATACTGTAACTGTCGCGCTCTCTGACATCATCGTTTTGTTTCATGATTCGAACAAAAGAGATGATAAAATACTGTAACGAGACCAATGAAAAGGTTTTGCCGTTTCTCACTTTGAAGAGATCATAACAACTCGGTGACATAGTAGCAACAAGACATCGGGCTGTTTGAACTCGTTTTTACTTTCTGTCGAAGACGATAAGAGCACAACAAAGCTTTTGAACCTAAAAATGAGATTTCTCCTCGCCACTACGCTTCTATTTGCGTTGTTGGAACAAAGCAATGCCCTGAATTCTGCCGTCCCCAAGGCGTCTCAAACACGCGCACCGGTCGTACTTTCTGCTGTATCCACAGAGCTTGAAGTCAGCCCCAAGGCTACGGCTGGTAACAATGATGACATTGATGCTGGCGGAGTTGAGTTTCCACCCCCTTTGTCTCCGATGGATAGAACGAAACGCGCCGCAACATTTTATTCGACAATTGTTCCCATTATCGCAAACTATTTCGGACTGATCGGAAACTTGAAAATACAGGAAGTGTTGGGAACAGAAAGATTTAGCGAGCAAGATATCGAGGTGGGTGTATTGTGCATGTCACCAATTATACGATTTGGAACTTGAATCGTTGGCATATGTTCTTCCATGGTCGGAATTTCAACGCAATGGGTGCGCCATAAAGAGAATGATCCTAAATCTTGAGTCTATTGAACCTGTTCAGTGTGAATTTCATTTTGGAGAATGTGTTGCATTGGGTGCTTCCCGTCCTTTTCTCATCTTCAAACTTGCAACTAACATGGCTACTTTCTGATGCTGAAACTTTGTTGCTCAAAAATTAGGACCTTTGGAATAACCAACACGAAGATGGTGCAAAAAAAGTCAGCGGTAAGTCGTCCTCACAGGAAATTTACATTTGCTATCTGCTTGTAAGAAATTATGAATAAGCTTTCGTACTAATGGTGGTGAATACAACTCTTCCTAGAGGTTATCACGGAGTTGAAAGGCTTTTACGTGAAGACAGCCCAAATCATCTCTACCCGACAGGATTTATTCCCAAAAGAATACACCGACGCCTTGAATGGATTTACGGACAGTCTGGACCCGATGGATGCATCATTAGCGAAGGCAGTTGTTATCAAAGAACTTTTGCATAAGGATGAAAAATTCAGCGATGTCTTTTCAGAATTTGATGACGAACCACTAGGTTCTGCTTCTGTTGCGCAAGTCCATCGTGCTGTCCTATCCGAAAAGTATGGTGGTCGGGAAGTTGCTATTAAGATCCAACGACCCTCTATTGAATCAAAATTGCTGGGAGATGTAGCCAATCTGAAGGCCGTTTCAAAGGCCTTGCGAGCATATCTGCCGCTCGATTATTACACGGTTTTCAGTGAATTGGAAAGTCAATTGGCAGACGAATTCGATTTTGTAGCTGAGGCTGTCTCTATGGATCGAATCTACCAATCATTGACAAGATCGGCAGACGGTTCAGAACTGACTGAGCCACCAATTGTATTACCACGTCCCGTACAAGGTCTAGTGTCCAAACGGGTTCTTGTTATGGATTATTTGAAAGGAGTTCCTCTTTCGCGGGCTCGAGAGGAGATGGCAAAACGAGGAATCGATCCCGAGAGTCCAGAGTCAAAACTGTTTGGAAGAAAACTTTTGAAGGCTCTCACATATTCCTTTGGCAGGTATGTCATTTTTGAATTTGGCCAACCACAACCCGAAAATTATCGCACAAACTAACAATTTCGAATGCCGCTTTTCTTTTTTCTCCTGGATAAATGAAATTAAAGGAATATTTTGGAGACTGGATTTTTCCATGCTGGTAAGTCCATGATTTGACAAGACTTTTATGGCTACTGTATCTCGACAGTTCTATCCACTCATCTTGTATAATCGTATTTCCTCCGTCGTGCAGATCCACACCCTGGAAATATTTTTGTTTTAGAAAATGGAGATATCGGGTTGATTGACTTCGGCCAAGTCAAACAAATTTCAGGCCGAAGCCGCGAAACGCTTGCGAAAGTTATGATTGCATTGGATGAGCGGATCGGGGACGACCGACCAGAGGATTTGGAGAAGATTGGAAATCTGGCTTTGGAATTGGGAGTTGCGTTGAACGATGATGCTCAAGACGAAGCTGCCGCAGCAGTTGCAATGTGGCTTTTTGATGGGGCAACAGAGGTCCTCCCCGGAGGATACGACAAGGGCGAACTTTCTCCCAACTCGCCAGTGAAAGAGCTCGAATCCTTCCCTCAGTAAGTCTTTGCATCAAGATCATTGTACACATCATAGAAATTGAAGAATTCGCGGTACTCACTTTTTTAAACATCACCATGTTAGKGACTTGGTCCTGGTTGGTCGGTCTTCTATTCTCATCAAGGGTATCTCMGACCGTTTGAATGTTCCGTGGAGTCTTGCAAAAGAATGGGCTCCGATCGCAAGAGATGTACTTTACGGTAGTGCTAGCAAAAGTCAAGCAGCGTCCACTCCAACTGACGACCGAGTAAGATTTAAATCGGTCCTAAGTACGCTAAAAAAATGGTCAAAAGGCAGGACCAAGAAATTTGCAACAAAACTTCCATCCCCAATACGGACTCGGTTGGCAGCTTATCTTGTGAGGAGAGAAGAACGCTTGTCGAGAAAGAAACTAACGGGACGCTAAGGAGAAAAACAATTTGATTGACAGAAATCGAGACAAAAGAAGATTTCTTTCTAGAAGGACAAAAAATAGTCCGAAGTAAAATTTGTCCACATCAATAACTTTCAATTTTGACTATTAACCTTATTCTGTAAGTATTGTCGTAACTGCTGCTGCTGCTTTCATTTGCATACCATCCGTACTAGTATTCGTGATATGTTGGGTGATGTTTTCTTCTTCTTCATGCATGCGAGTGCATTAGACCTCTCCCAATCTTGGTCACTTGTTGATTTTGCTGGGAGTGCGCACCTTGGCATTTTCTATTCATAGCACCTTCGTATTAAACATTACTTCAAGGAAGAAGAACAGCAACAAAACCAGGGGATTTTCAGCCTCCTTGTTCCCAGCTGAACTGCATGAGGAACCTAGTAGTACTAGTACTACTGGCAGGAATAACGAAACACAAACACTCACTAGCTACTAGTACTACATTTTCAAATTGGAATCAGCAGGAGGGAACAAAAGTCATAAAAGACCTGCATGATTCTTGACACCAACAAGAACAAGAACAAGAATGACTTCTTGCTGTTGCAGGAACAACAACAACAACAAGTCCTCCATGATCATCATATCAGTACTAGTAGTACTACTAGCTACTAGTAGTCATAGTAGTATCATGAGGAGGCGACCTCCTTGTTGTTATTTCAGAAATTCAGTAGTAATTCTTGTTGTTTCTAGACTAGTAGTACTGCTGCTGCTACTGATAGTAGCTAGGATATTTACTATTGCTCAATTTCCATAGTCTGTTTGACATACTAGTAGTAGTAGCTCTTCATACAGAAGCAGAGCTGTTAGTAGTAGTAGTAGTAGTAGTAGTAGTAGTAGTAGTAGTAGTAGTAGTAGTAGTAGTAGTAGTAGTAGTAGTAGTAGTAGTAGTAGTAGTAGTA